AGGAGCAGCCAGGACAAGAGCTGAAGCTGATCTTATGAAACCAGAATCCAACTTACTCAAAATAAACCCTGTTATTTATACAACTTATAGGGTTACTCTCATGTATTTAGTAATGTCATCTACCTTAAAAATTACCTTCTGGAAACTTCCAGGAGCCACAGAGTTTACCCCCCCTCATTTTATACTACTGGGCTGGAATGTGGTAGGACTGAACCTGCATTTTAAAGCTTTTTTCCCAGAATGAAAACTATGTAAATATCTCAGTCAACAGCCAATTTATCAGACATTTGGATCTTTGTACTACAAAATGTGAAACTCTGTAAAATCCAACCAGTAAAAGTATTAACCCATTTTGTCTTGCCCTACTACTGCTATACTGTGTGAGGAAAACACATCTTTGGGTGAAGAATGTAAGTTTTTAGAGCCTTCCAGTGAATGAGAGTGCCTTAATAAAACCGAAACATAAAAGAACCCTTGGAGGTGGCACGACCTAGGCTTGGTTGTAAATACTTTATCGCAAACATCCCCATAGCAGCCAAGGCATCTGTCTTGAAGGAGGGTGTGTTCTTCCTGGCATTTGGCACCTTGAACTGATTTGTTTCTTCTTCTCAGTAAGGCTACCGTAGACAGCAGAGGGGCAGAAAGTAACGTGAGTTTACTTACTTACGTATGCCTGCATCGTCATATGAATATGTATGCATGCATCCCTTTCCCTTCCCCTTTTCTGAAGTGCATAAATATCACAGCATCTCTTTTGCCTGCAGGGGTGTCTCTCACTATCCCTCGCTGGGGCCCCCTCCAGTACACACTGCCTAATAAACACTGCACCGAAGCCTTGATTATTCTGTTTCTGGGTCCTGTCTTTGATTCTACAACTGTAAGCAAATCGGTATGAGATCTGAACTCAGCCTCTCCCCCCTGTAATTAGCTTTTCATGCTTCAAAATCACTATTTTTTATTTCATCTGAAAACAATTGAACTTTACTGTTTCTATACTTAGGGGGTTTTTTAAGTGTTTGATGCACAACCGCACAAAAATACATTGGGGGGGGTATAAAAGTTTCAAAGGTCCCTACTTTTGCAAGGCCTCCAGAAACCAGTGCATCTGTGCAGCACGCCAGCACTTGCAGAGGAAGCTGAAGAGACCCCTCTCCGTCCCTAATACCTGCTTGCTGGGACACGCAGGCAGAGGAGAAAGCTCTTCTACCGCTGGGCCCCCCGGGGGAAGGCGGGTGATTGCGGATAAATGGCATCCCCAGCTGTGCTTCCAACCGAGCGAGCCTTCCAAGGACTCTCTGCTGTCAGTTGGAAAAACCCTTGAATGGCATCTGGATAAAGCCGCCCATCCATCTCTATAACCTGAATGGGGAAAGGAGAAACTTCCCAGGCCTGGAGAGATTATGATAAATTCATGAGCTTACAGATAAGTGGAGAATTGTATCTCCTCACTTTGGGATGTTTGTTTTCGTTTGTTTCTTTGAGTGAATAGGACTGATTTTATGAAAGAAATGCTTTACAAACAAGTCAAACAATATTATAATATATCACATAGCCTCATTTTACACACACATACACACACACATTTTTAAGGATATGGTTGATTTTCCAAGTTGGAAACAAGCTGTATGAAATGCACGGCTGTCTGATCTTTTGGAGAGCAAGGTTGGTGTCGTGGGGAAAGCCCCAGGCTAGAAACTGGCAGACAGCGAGTTCTAGTCCAGCCTTGGGCACGAAGCCAGCTGGGCAACCTTGGGCCAGTCTCTCTCTTACAGCCCCAAGGAGGAGGAGGCCGGGGAAACCACTTCTGAAATCTTGCAGGTACTTGTCTAGGCAGTCGCCAGGAGTCAACACTGACTGGAAGACAACGCACACACACACACACAGACCTTTTGGGCCATCAGATCAACCTGCATAAATCTAAACAACCACTTGATGGCAGCAGAGTTATTCCATATTTATTCATTTATTTGCTCAATTTCTATGGCTCACCGAGCTTACCCATTGCGACTCTGGGCAGTTTAGGATTAAAACAAACCAGGGAAAAAAATAGAAAGCAAAAAAATCTAGGGAACAGAAAAATTTAGAAACCAGAGTGAATTTTCAGATATTCTTGTTAAGCTGTTTATATTGGAAACAGTCATGCATCTCAAGGCTAATCTTGGTGCAAATTATGCTTCACATTTTGGGGCAAAATAAAACATAAACAATATTTAAGTATAAGCTCTGAGTTGGAGATCTTTAATATTAGGAAATATTATGGAACATGTAGCCATAACGTGTCCTATTTTTTATACTGTTGTACTGTATTATTATAAAACACAAGTATTACATTATATTATTCAGGTACAGTTGTATTTATAAAGTGTTGACTGGAGATTATTAACACTCTGATGATTTAGATAACTTAAACCTTTAAAGATAAAGAAAAGACGTTTATGTCAATATTAACTATGATTTCTAAAATGTTAATGTTGATAAGCATAGGGTTGCTTAAATTTCCCATCCAAAACTGAGTGTGGCATTGATAAACAACTGCAAAATACATTAAATTATTTATTAGGTAATAAAGGTTTCTATCCTAACCTGAATACTTGATACTATGGTCTCCACTGTACTGCTATTTATTGTTTATGCATATTGCAAAAAAGAAAACAAAAACAGACGAACAAGCTATTTTGTTTCTGACTTCCCCCTTCTTATGCCTCCACCAATTTCCGGTGTTTATCAGTATTCAGGCCCCCTCAGAAACCATACTGTGTTTATATTTTCCACACTGCATAATATATTGTGTACATGGGAACCATTCTGGCTTGAATTTGGTGCTGTCTCCTCACTTCAGTTCAGGAAGCCTGGAGACGTCAAAAGCGATGCAGCGCATCCTCTGGTGAGCAAATCAGGTCGCCCCCTGGACAGAGAGCCACAGGGTGGGCGCAGCTCTTTCGCACCACTCTGGGAGCGAAACCCAGGTTCTCTGAAGAGCAGAGGGACTTAACTGAGCCCCACAAGAGGGCAGAGAGGAGGACTGTGGTGGTTCACTACTCCCTGCTGTGAGAACAGAAATGTATGTATGGGTGCTGACT